CTCAGCCAAGAAACAGTTCAAGGACCAGTGTGTGGGATAATTAGTTGAATCTAGTGGCGAGGTTGCAGATTGCAACCATTTGATCACAGCAGAGCCTTCCAAGTGTTTAAGGAGAAACAGTTTGTCTGTTCTGGGCTACTTAATTTAGTCTGCTAATAAAAACACAAGGAGAAATGTAGGATCACACACCATCCAACAAAAACTGCAACCCAAACTGTCTATCATTCCAAAATGTGAGAAAAATAAGAGCTATATGTAAAATACAACAAAATGTGATTTGTATCTAAAATCCCAGCTACAGTGTGACTAGATTGTCTGTCTTTTGGTTTACATCCCTTGGTTTTGGTTCACAACTCATAGTTTTCCTCAGTTTTCCTGAGCTTGGTCTTTACAGTAAATGCAAAGTTTTACTTTGCTAACTGCCTGCTGGCTCTTCATATTTAGGTTATAGACATGAAAGTGGTATCAAACTTACCCACTATATTTCCCAAAACTATTCTTTTATAGAAGAGTTCCAAAATACTTCCAAAACAAATGCGAAATATAATGTACATGTAATGTTTTTAGAGGGAATATGAATGTTGATTGGCACACCTTTGAGGAAGCTAAGCTAAATTGTGACATCATTAGGTGCTGTCCCTCTTTTGTTTTCTGCAGCCACTAAATATGTTTCCTTGATGATCAGGTTGGTGTGTAAGAGCCTTCCTACAAAGAGTTAATGTAAATCTAATTATATGGTATAAGGAGCCTACTGTGAATGGAATGTAGCTCGGAGATGTCTCTCTTTCTCCTCATTCTGTGTTATTTAATACTTAGCAAAGTTGACATTTAGATGCAAGATAATGTGCAGCTAACAGACAAAAGATCAGTGGGATGCTTTAAAAGGCTTTAAAATTAGTTAAATGACCTGTAATAAATTCCGAAGGGGCGAGACATCATAGATACTGCTATACAAGACATTAAGTAACATTAGCTAATATCCCGGGTTAAGCAACAATCAGTCATCAGGATAATTATCTAGGTCACTGGTAATCCTTCTTCCTGAAATATTAACAGGGTGCAGCTTAATTATCTCAGAGACTGACTTATAGACAGTTAGATCTTCCAGTGTCACAATACTTTCTTACAACACTGACATTAAAATTTTCCACAGCTTTGATCGCAACAGAAACTTCTCACAAGAATCCTGCAGCATATATTACTGCTCTGCTGTTTGGCTGTATAATTTGCATATTCTGTTATGACCGGCTCATAGGGCGCAAATAATGGGAGAGACACAAAAGCTATATTGCGTAAATTAATCATATTATTCACAAAACAACATGGCTTGTGGAAATCAGTCATATAGGTGCAGGTTAGTAATGAACAAGTCTTGTATGAGTCAGCTCCTTCAAGTGAACAATGAGAGCCAGTTCCCGTCTTTTTTGCTTTCCAGTTTTTTATTTATTATTTATTTATTTTTTAGAAATGAACACAAGAAAGAATAACTGGATGATCCTAATGATTTTCAATCTTGATGCAAAAGTTGATGATGATTCATTGTCAGTCTTGTCAACGTGACCATTTACAAGGAAAAGCCTATGCATACTGTACAGTGGGAAACAGGGTGTTCACACGGTAACAATAAAACTCTATCATCATCTATCTCCCTTATCCAGCTGTTACTGTATGTCCCTATGACTGAAGGGCCTTTCTTTCTCCAGGACTGCAGCAACAGGGGTGACTCTCACCCTGGCCCCAGCCCAGCACATTACACTGCTCTTCTGACCCCAACATATGGCCTCTGGGACCCACCTCCAACCTTCTCTGACAGCTGTATGTAACCACAGAGTGTTACATGTGTTCAATATGAATCTCAGAGGATACTTTTACAATAAAGGCACAAAATATCTTTTTTTTTACTTAGTCAAAGAAGTCAGCTGTTTTTAATTTGGTGCATTCTATTTCCTAACAGTAACCAGTACAAAAACATCCCAAACTGTTGTTTTACAGGTTACTGGTGACCAATTGTCATTTGCTCAGACACCAGATTCCAGGAGAATTAAAGGTGGAGTCAACCGTTCTGGAGAAAGATAGTTGATTGTTGGGTCTCATTCCCAGGACGTCAAAAATACAGACACTATTTGATGACCTGGGAGCACAAACACCACCTGCTGTGTTGTGTGGCTCGCTCCAAGCAACTTTGTTTCCCATTTACCATCACCCAAAGTGTCTGTATGAAGTGTCTGTAAAAATGTATCAACTGAAAATGTAAAGAATAAGACATCATGGTACCACCCACACTGTTTGATTTGCACATGAACCTTGAGAAGTGCAGCAGCTCCACAGCTTAACACCAACTATGTTGCCAAAATAATGAAGCAGGAACTTGCGGAGAACCACATCAATTAGAGAGAAGTTGATTCCGTGGAGGATTCAATCCGACAGCTGGGATGCACCAATCAAGCGGAGTTTTTATGTTCAGGTTGTAACTTCTGCACTGACTTGAGAGATGTGAGGGGAAAGTGGGAACAGCATGCACCTAAAAACATCCCGGTTTGCGAAGTTTGTCCTTTTGCATGCCACTTACTGCATGTCGAGAGCTGATGGAGTCTGTAGATAATATAGCAGAGTAAAGTCCAAAACAAACAGGCATGTCCCTTCCACTGAGTCTGACTCAGAGCCTGCCTGTAAGAGCTAAAGCCAATGTCAACACAACCCAGCTCAGACTTATATTGAAGGTTAACAAGCAAACTGATGTTCTGAAACTCAAAGAGGCTGGAAATAGTGCTGACTTAATTGCTTTGTGCTTTGCTTGTAAAGTAAGTTTGAGACACATGAGGTCAAACATTTTTCAGAGTGGGTATATTTGAAAAATAACTATACCATATATTGTGATTCTGACACTCTCTTTTAGCTCTAAAGTAATCTTTTAACACAAATGGACAGTCGTATCTTTTCTACACTGTTGTTGCAAATTTTAAGTTCAAATTCAGTGCAAGCCAAAACAATCTGCTGTGACACAGAATCAAGACCTTAATTTTCACTTAAATACTTCATGGCATCTCAAAAATGCTTCCTCCTCCCTGTCTTGTATGTTTTCATTCTTGTTAGACTTTTGGCAGGAAGGCAGAGTCTGTTTTTCCCAAACTGACGTTGGATAACGTTTGTCAGTCAGTGGCTCATTCTCTGACCAGGGCAGAAAACCCATAAAAGAGGTGTCCTGTATGAAGATGCACATTTCTTTCCAAAACAAGAATCTGAAGCAGAAATCTGCAATTTAGTAAGAGGCGTGTGGTTACACATCTGTGGGAGTGGACAGTGGGTGGTGTCCAATCAGTATCAGGAGGAAATTATTTCTTCATAAAACACAATTACTTACTCTATACTGTTTGCATTTTTGGTAGCAGAGTTGAGATTTACAACACCACAAACACTCCGTCAACGTCAGAACATGGACTTCATCCAAGTTGCTTATTGCTCCTTTGAATACATGCTTATAATCATGGCACGAGAACAAAACAGAGTGCTGTTTTCAATACTTTGAGACATTTTGGATATTCAGATCAGGCATTCACATCAGATAATGACCCTCCTGTGAATGTTTCCCACTTGTACATTTTTTCTGCATATCTTTTATTTCTGGTAAAGTCAATAAAAAAAACAAAATTTTTAGCTAGTTTAATTCAGATTTTACTTTCTAAATGTTCAGTTTTGGTTTTGTTTCTGTTAAAAATTTAGTTTAAAATTTGATGTGCACATTATGTATCTGTGGCAAATGTGACAATCCGCTTTGTTGCTGGTGAGAGTTTAATTTGCATTCTTTGGAACATTGAATTTTTATTTTTTTATTAGGTATGGTAGCAATAGTTTTTAAGCACAGTGAAATACAGTATTATTATTGTATTCATTTAAAAATACATTCAACTTGACACTTGAAAGCTGCTGCACAGTGACATAAGCAGACACATGTGGAGGAACAGCTGTGCCAAGCAGCTTATGAAACCTGCAGGATGAGAGCTTAGAGAAGAGCAGAGACCGATCAATGCCAGGCCTGTGACACCGAGAGAAGACAGGAGAGCAGGAAAATGTAAAAAGCTGAGAGAAACACTGAAAGTAAAGGCCATTCACTGGAAAGAATGACGGACGGAGAGAACCTTGTTAAATGCTGACAAATGGCTGTAGGATTTGTTCTGGTTTCTTCAAGGGCATGTTTGCACCCCAACACCACCTGGTGGTCAAAAGCATTTATAAAAAGCAGATAATAAAAGGTTGACAAAAAGATTTTTCCCTGGGAAAGATGCAGCACTTCTTTTATTATAATTAACTAAAACATAGACAATTTTGTGTCTTTCTCTTGAAAACTGTATTTTAAATTAAAAGTCTAATTTTCTCTCTTTGCTCAAATTCAAGTGTTTTTCCTGGTTAGTTAAAACTAAAACTATTATTTATCATATTCATGAATCTGGTTTATACTTACATTTGCATTACATCTCAACACAACAAACATATGTCATAAACTAAAAATAAAATACAAATACATAATAATTAATTCAGTCATTATGTTGTGCTGAACTAGCACTAACACCTTGGAAAAGCACAAGTTGTCTTTGGAATAAACTAGTTTTGAAAGTAAATTAAATATATAGTGCAACATCCTAGAACTATTCCAACGTTTAGTGACGAAAACAGGAAATGCACAATCTCTCTTGTAAGTCAAGCCCTGGAAACATCTAGTATAGACACTGGTTAGCCAAAATGAGAGACAAGTGTTGAATTATAGCAGTTTAGGCCATGTGGGCAGAAAACATGAATTAATATCTCAGCACTTTCAAGTGATAAACATGTCTGATCTTTGAAACATTTCTTAATTGGCCAAAAAAGCCAATAATCAGAATCAGAAATACTTTATTGATCCTTGCAGGGAAATTTGTTACAAGGAGATGTTTAAAGAATTAAAATAGCTTTGTAATATTATAATATACTGTATCATGCTAGTGTGAAGTCAACAACAGTAGAACAACAACAACACAGATTTTGTTGCATGAACATTTTTTATTTCTATTAGTGCCGAGAACAAGCTCACAGGCATACTGCAGCAATAGACATTTCTCCTATTCCAGAATTTAAACATTGCTTTGTATTACCATTATTTTTTAAAGGCACCTGCAGTTTACGCATTACAGTTTAAGCTCTGACAAAGCACATAATGTCTATGTATGAATTCATGTATGGGAAGTATTTCTGGGGACAGAAATAATAAATAATGAAAAGAGGGGATGGTGATGAAACTCTGCAATGAACTCAGCCTTCAGTAAGCAGGAAACAGACAAGTGACAGAGTGGAGTGATGGGCTCCCACACAAACACACTCTCATACACAGAGACACACACACTCAGGCATACTTTGTTGTTCATCAGTCTAATTAAATGTAGTTACATGTACATATATCTTCAATGCAAAACATGATATATATATATTTCGAGATGTTAATGAAGCCCAAAAATCTTACTCTTAAAACATACATAAAATGTACACATAAAACTGGTAAGATGTGGATATCCTGAAGGTGGAACCAATCATTTTATTTCAGCTATCTTTAAGAGATAATGTCACAGGAAATTTCCTGAGCTCTGTGCTGTCTGTAAAATCTCTACCTACATTTCCTGCTCTTAAAACACTACAAAAATATAAGATCAATAAAAGATGGATACTGCAAAGAAATTATTGTATATTCAGTATATGACTAACGGAGAATAAGGTGTCATCGGTATACAGTATGAGAAAAGAAATTTACAGCAAATAGTCAGTTTTCAAAAAGAAAAATAGTTGTTTGAGTCCTTCCTTTCTTTAGTGTATCAAAAAGAAATCATCTGATTCTCTCATTTCACACTTTCTACTTCACCTTAAGTACGTACTCAACATTCAACAGCCAGATAACCGTCACAGGTCAGATTGACATTTAAGATGTCTTAAGAGAAACAAGAGGAGTCTGATTTACAGTAATGCTCTTCTTAGTTTCAACATAAAAAACAAGTCTAGAGTAAAGAAAAGTCATTATCTCAATATATGACAACCTCTATATTCAGCTTACATATGGAATGCTTAAAATCTAAAATAGCTTTGAAAACTTTAAAACAAACTCTGTTGTTTTCCACTGTCTTCATTTTAAATCAATGCAACCTAACCAGTGAAGCATTTTATTTAGTTTTGCCAGCCAGCACCAACCAGTTTTTATGAATTCTTAATTGCAGACTTGGAAACATCTCACTTTGAGATGACTTCACTCCTGCCTAGCCAGCCAATACAGATGTGTTAAACACCAATACTACCAAAATAATGTCCTGCCTGTGATCTACAAACTATGTACTGTGTAGTTTTGTGGTCAGTGCTGTGCCAGTCCAATGAATATTTACAAGCACTTTGGAAATGTGCAGAAATAATAACATATGACAGATGATGACATGACTCTGAGCTAAATTCAATGAAACCTGTGCAAGTTGCCACAACAAGTTTGTTATTTTAAACAGTTTTAAGTATTAAACAAACAAAAGTCAAACTACTGAAATGTTATCACATGATGACATTAGTGTAATAATTTGACATTTTGGGAACTAAGCTTATTCTCTCGTACAAAGAGGAAGATCAATGCCACTCACACATTTGTCTGTTTAATATGAAACCACAGACAGGGGACCATTAGCTTAGCTTAGCATAAAGACTGGAGACAGGGCCAACAGCTAACTTGTTTTTAGCCAGCCAGATTCAGGAAGTCACTGTGTAGGCAAATAAACAACCGTAAAACCAAATCTTGTTGTTCTTACACTGTGGTTTTTGAACGCATTATACAAAAGAGATACAACATGGTAGGTTGTGAACTTTAGAGGTAAGTGGATATTTTTTTCCTTTGGACAGAACCAAACCTACCTATTTCCCCTTAGTCATTATGTTCAGCTAAGCTAACTACTGGCTGTAGTTTCATATTTAACAGACAGATATAAGAGTGATACCAATCTCCTTATCTAACTCTTGGAAAAAAGGTGAATTAGCATATTTTACAAAATGATGTACTATTCCTTAAAACTGAATTTAGCCCTGAGAAACACAATACAACGGTACCTTTAAAACAACATAAAGAAAAAACACAAAAAGGCAGTGTTTCATCTTCTCGATAATACAGCATATATTTACCTCATCGTCTATACACAAGGCTTATCAACTTTCCTGATGAACCAAAAACTAAAATCAAACTATTACAAAGACTTTAAATTACCTGTCCACTCAAATTAATAATAATGGCCTTTGATATCTTATGGAATACAATGACAGAGCACACCCAAAATACTTTTTGCAAACACGTGGCATGTTTATGTCTTCATTTGTGCCCTTTGACAAAGAGGAATGATAAACTAAAATAAATAGACATGGCATGAACCTCCTTAGATATGAAACTGCCTCTTTCTTTGCCAATGTATTCAGTGTTTTATTGCCTGAGATTTTGTCCATAGTTATGTTGAGATAAGTAAATAACCAATGGTCTCAAAAAATATTTTCATCTAAACTGGTGTGGCGAGAGGTCTTTAATACTGAGAGGAAAGATTTGGGGAGGCTTCCAAAACTTGAGAATCCACCTCTCTCTGTGTCCTATCTCAAATATTCTCAGACCCAGTACTGGTTCTTTTTCAAGGCCGGGTTTGTTGTCCGACAGTGCTGCAACAACTCCGGGTCTGCATCTTTGGAGTCCATGTTGGACATGGGGATGTTATTTGCTGGGTCAGTTTTGCGAAAGGTTTCTGTGCCGGCCACTTCTCCATTTTTGGGCTTGGATGCTGCTGTCTGGACGTTGTGCTTGCCTGTTTTGTTTTTGCGGATCAGGTAGTAGGCTAACACGGCTGCCAGAAGCAAGAGGAGGAGGATTACCAGGATTGGGATGAGAATAGACCAGAAGTTGCTGCGCCGGGCAACATGTGGTTTCCCATGTGAGCTAGAGCCAGAAGATGTTGTAGTGGGAGCATCTCGGTTGGGCCAGTCCATGTTGCCACTGTCGCGGGGGCTAGCTGGAGTGGCACGAGGGGACTTCACAATAGGTAGATCATTACTGTCCTTCGATGGGGCTTCTGAGGGAATCCTCAACAGAGTGGCAGGGTAGACCCCAGAGGCATTGAAGGGGCCCGTCTGGAAGGAAAGCACACATTCTGCTGGAGGAACCCCATGAGCTTTGAGCAGGAAGCGGGCCTCATCCTGTGTGAGACTACCTCTTGATCCAGAAGAGCTATTCAGGATTTCCATAGCGACACGGCCCTCATCCAGGTCGTTCTGGCTGAATGTGTTCACTGGCTGGCCTGCACTAGGACCTCCAGACTTCACAAAACGAGACCCCCTTGGCTGTTGGATGACAGTGAATGTGGGGGAGGTTCTGGTCTTGTTTGCCAAGGGAGTTGCATCCAGAAGCTTCCTGTCCAGTTGTATAAGAGCACCTTTGGGTAAGAGAGGATTCTGGGCAATGTTGGCCAGAGGCTGGACTGTGATGTTAAGGACAGAGGAGACATTAGCAGCACGGCTACGAGCTACAAATGCAACGCTGTCTCGAGGTGAAGTGGACTTGATAAAGCGGACACTGACTCTGCCTTCTTTGATCTGTTTCTGGGTGAAGGCGGATGTAGGCTGCCGGTCTACCATAACTGCTGCATATTTAGGAACACTTGTGATCTTGTAAAGGATGTCCTCCTCAACAGGGCCCCCAGTAGTCGCTTTCAACATCTCCTCAGTCACCAGGGTCTCATCATCGCCTTGCTTGACCTTGATCTCAGGGGCTTTGTCAAGAAGCAGGGTGCGAGCAAGGACACTGATGTGGAGTGTGTGCGGCTCTGTTTGATGTCCTTCATCTGACACAATGAACTCCACAAATCCATCAGCAAGGGTGCCATCACTGTAGAAGCCCACCTGGCCATGATTGACCATCTCTTGTGTGAACTCAGAAATGGGGTCCATTGTATGTGAATCAACAAGTCGACCGTTACCAGGAGCTTTGGTCACTTTAAAGTGCACCTCATCTGGCGGACTGTCCTCGTCTTGAGTGTTAAGATGCTTCTGGGTCAAGATGGTCATAGAACCTTGAAGAACCTCCAAGAGCATGTCTATAGTGACTAGTTCAGGGGGGTCAGAGCCACGCCGTTTGACTGAGATGTTAAAGATCTCTTCCAGGACTACAGATTCGGCAGGTGAGGTCACACCATGATTTTCCGACTTTAGACGGGCCCTGAAAGAGAAGCTGTCAAAAGATGCCCCTGAGTCATCATGGAGATACTCCAGGTATCCGTGAGCTACATCTTGCTGAGTGAAGAATGGGGCATTACGTGGCAGGTCCTGACCACTCAGGGTGATACGACCATGGTCAGGGAAACGCTTAATCTCAAAAACCACATTCATAGCACCTCGCTGAACTTCAGGTAGGCTAGTCAGAAGGTTGGAAGCGTCAAGAATTGAATCGTCAATGGCTTTCCTCTGTCCTTGCACAATGTCCAGAGCTGAGTGGAAAGAATTAAAACTAATTTTAAATGTCACTTCAAATTCATTTTTCAAAGATACTTTCTATTCAGTTTTGACTGTCTCCTATCAATATTTAATTATGCCACACAGTGTATTTAGGTTGTTGGCACATTAGGGGAGACAGATGGAGCAGGGGCCTTTTTGTTTTGCCAACAAAAGAAGCAGGGGTGATAAATCCCTTTATGACATTGGACTGTTCCTGTTCACAGTAAAAAATATTCTAAAACTCGATAAATAGCTAAAATGAAGAAAAGTAAAAGATGATTTCTGTTATGACTGTTCACACTGAGGTCTCATTGCATTAAAACCAGACCTGTATCTGATTTGACACAAGTGGCCGGAATCAGATTCGATATTATTTGAGCTGTTCACACTGTCATGAAAAGTTATGGTAGTTAAAATCTGCTGTGTAACCTAGGGCTCAGATTCTTACAGTGTTGTCACTTTGGCACTGAGGTATAAAGTATTAGGAATGCGAACTTTGTGAAGATTGTCCACCACTTATAATAATTTAAAAACCTTGTTTTAAGTTGTCATGCATGATTATAAACATTTAGAGTTAAGAGGTTTAAAAAGCTTTATAAAGGCATTATAATGTCTTACACATGTGCTTATACTGCATTATAGATATGACCTTTATAGAAGTGTTACCAATATTCCTTTAAATCTTTTATGAGAATTTCTACACATCAACACATTAGTCCTTAAAAAATATTTACTAGACAGTAATATAAGGTCACACAAAGCCTTGGTTTTCCATGGCAGAGAAACAAACTTGAGAAAATATTCATTCCAATTTAAAATCACTTTAACAGAACATCCTCCACAGAACTGTGCCACTTGCAATAGGCAGAATATAGTATATTCTGCCTATTGCCTAAGCTTTTCCAAATAAAATCTCTTCAAAACATAGCAAACCTGCAAACACATTAACACTTCAAAATGCATGTAATCCTCCAAGATACATAAAACATTTAAGGGTTAAAATACTTTTGTGAAACAATAAAAGTAACTACTACTACAGCCACCATTGATGATATCCATTATCCAATGACTTATTCAAACTACAGAGGGAGAGTTCCATACTCACAATATTGTACAGTAAACTTTTATGACATTATGACAATCTGCAAACAGAACTGTCCAATTTTAATTTTTTTAATGACTGTCTCATTATTTTCTTTCTGTTATGCCATTTAACTGTTAACATGGTGTTGCTGTAAAATAGCATGCATTCTCAACGTTTAAAGATTAAATAAGATATGATTAAATAAATAGATACACATCTGATGTGTCTGTTTAAATATACTACGACTGCAGCTGGCGAAAACAATATTTCCACATTGTAACTCTAGTGCTATTATTTTAGGTGGAGCCCTCTAACTGGGCTTTACAGACCTAGCCACTCATCTCTTCATGTCAACATTGGTGGAAATGTGTATACAATTTACATTCATTTATTAGAGTGGTCATTTAAAATAACAATCATTCATTCACACGAAAAATATTGTGTTCCTCCCTCATTTCGACATTTACCTTTGTTCTTCCACAGCTGTGAGGAGATGTTGCTGTGAGCAGCATAGTAAGAGATGGTAATGGGCAGGATGTGACGGACATCTGGGGCTGGTTGGGATGACAGAGTAAACTCTACAGCATCCCTTGCCACCCAAAAAGGCTCCTCAGGTATCTGGTGCTCATAGTAGACTGCTCCTGACTCAAGCTATGTATCAGGGGAAACAAAATTAGAAGGTGGTTTGCTGTTCAGAACTCTTAATATTAAGTTTTACATGCTGGAGCGGATAAAACAGTTAATAGTCAGTCAAAGTCAAATAAATTGATCATACAGGAAGAAATAAAGACAGACAAGTATATTAATTATCATATCATGGCATGTGTCTTTTGGAAAAAAATATAATTCTGCAACAGTATCTATTTTTAAAATACCTCATAGGACACATACAATTTGAATTGTCAAGTATAGGATTTAATTTGTCAATATCAATATAAAAAGTGGATTTTTGCCCACACCCCGTTTCCAGTCACTTGATATTGACTTATGTTTAAGGAGTGATTTTGAAGACAAAGACATTTTAGTTTGCTAAAATATTTTATTGCTCTCTTTCCCTCTGACGTTTATAAGCACCACACTAAAATGAGAGCTCAAATGGCTGCAGCAGTGGTTTGGCTCAGCTGTACTGGGATCCGGGTTTGAGAACTGGAATGCGACGGCCTGTGTTCGCTCTCTGAGGTCACTGTGTCCTAAAATCAACTCTTCTCTCTCTCGATCCCTTCTACCCACACAATAAAGAGTATATACATGCATGTATGCACAAACACACACACACACACACACACACAATGAATAACTCAAATTGTGTTTTCAGCTCAGTGTAGTGTTAGATTTTCTGTCACACTCTAAACAGAGCAGTTTCCATAGAAAGAATTTGTTCTCATGCTCATCCAAGCATGATCAGTCTTGAATCAGACGGAGACTAAAGTGAGAATGCACAAACACTGGGCCTAAAGTGCATGAATTGTGGTACTATGGTTGAGTTGTGTACCTCATAATCCTCAACAAAATCTACTAAATGCTAAAAAATACCATCAATAATGTTTTGATATGTTTTTGATATATGTTTTTTTCTTTCGGTTATCTGATCTTAGTAAAATAGATGTACTTCTGTGCTTTACAAGCAATAATTATGAAAGTAAGAAAACAGTCAATAAACAAAGGAGCTCTTTGAAATCAAGGACCACACCCCAAAGAAGAGTTTTTTTTTTAAAAGACGTAGGTGTCAGCCCTTGAAAAACAGATTTTATCATACTCAGGAGTGAGAGTGCCTGGAATTTTCTTTCCTTTTTGCATGTAATCTGAATATTTCTACTTGCTTTTAGGCTATTTTGCCAACTGTGCAATACAAATAATAATGTATAAATATAATAATGAAATAAATTTCCTGAAATCTCTGCACTAGTTGGGTGATCTTTGCCTGTGTCCCCAGTGTATTATTACTCAATCCAACAATACCCATTACATACAGTTGCTTTGACAGAGAGATAGATGTATTTGACAATAATAAAGGTAAATACAGGACTGCAGTCACCCACTACTGACAATTAAAACTGCAAAGGGT